TAAAAAATAAAAGTCCAGTAGAGGAAAGATCTGATGAATAAGATGGATGAAATAAGGTAGCAAGAGAGCCATTGAACATATGGCAATGTATCGCTTCTTGAACGTCTTCAAGAATGGCCCTACACAAGACCTTTTGTCCTGTTGCTGGGTTTTTGTCCTGGTGTTATTTTTTCCTGGTGCTGGGCTGTTGCCCTTTGATTGGGAGCCCTGAGGTCCATGATTGGGTGATAAAAAGTGATTTAAGTCTCATCCATGGCCACTCTCGGTACATGAATAATTAATCTTAGGTACACTGTTTGTAATTTCCAATATGCTACTGTGCATTGTAGGAGGAATATCAAGGAAGAAGAATCCTTGTCACAGTCATATTGTATGTTGGCAGTGCACTGCTTCAACAGTTGCCTCCTTTTCCCTGCCCAGGTTGACTTTCAGGATAGCCTCGTTTTTGCTTCTTGGGATTTAGTCCTCAGTGAAGTTCACATTGGGGATGTCCAACATTCTTTCAGGTGGTTTTGCCTATTACCAGCCAATTTTGACAGATGATCATGTTCTTTGTCTTGGTTCTTAGTGGAGCACTGTCTCTTGCCCAATACTGTTGTCTACTATAATTTAGCCATTTGCTTGCTTTTGGAATAGATATTCCATCCTTCCCTTTCTTTAAGGTGTCCCTGGTCTTTATTTTTACACCTCTGGTCAATTTGCATTCTTCTGCAGCCTAATCGGTCCTTAGATTAGGTTCTTTCCTTAATGTCTTTACCTCAGGTTCTTGTTTCCATCTTGGCTAGGGATTCTATTTTCATTGGGGCTTTTATGTTGGCTCTAGATTCTGGTAGTCATGCTCGCAAATTTCATGCTCTTTGGTGTTAAAGGCATTTTGTTCATTTAATTTTGGGAATTGCTCTCTTAATCTCTGCTTTCTTTATCTTTTCTAGTCAGGAATGAGACTTCTGCTTATTGTTATGGTCCTTAAGTAGTAGATGCGTCATTTGTCAGACTGGGGGTGCACAATAGCCTGTGCCCTGTTGCTTCTGCACAGCATTATAGTACAGTATTTATGTGCTACTTGTGCTTCCTGAACTGTGGCTCTCTCTGTCAGTCCAGTTTTCTTGGTGTCTTATTGCAAGACCAGGCTTTCATTCAGGTGATTTGATTCAAGCAGCCTGATGGGTATCTGCATACAGTTGATGTGCATATACATGCTGCCATTACTGCCTTCTTTGCTAATATCTGTGGCTAATATTTGGGCTCGGAGTTTCTGACTCTAACCAAATGGTGGTTAGATATCCATTACCTGTTGAATATTCTCCATCTTAACTGGGCCTGTGTGACTCTTGAGTACCTTTCTAGTCAATAAGTTCTTCCTTTCCTGAACCCAGGGTTTCCCCGCCATCTTTCACCATGGGTCAGCTCTTACATCATTGTTTGTTCCCTTTATTAATCTTGTTTCCAATAGCCCAACTAAAGTTTACTCCTTGAGGCACTGTTGGTATATGCATCAGTGAGCTATTAAAGGCCAGGGCAGAAATCGAATACTGTATTGAATGTAATGAAATAATTTTTTGGCACGGGCTTGCTAGCTTCCCAGACTCGCCCTTCTTTGCCCTGCTTCTCTTTGTGATCAGGTGCATCTTGGGTGAGGAGGTTGACAAGCTAGAACCCTGGATTACCATAGCTGCAATCTGGAGGCTTGTTTGGGTACTAGCATGTGATTTGTTGACATTGGGCAACATATTGCTTCACCACTACCTTCTGGGCAGTTTTACACTGTTTTGGTTCGGTCTCAAATCCTCCATTCTTTGTTCGCATTTATGAACACACTAGATTCGATTCCTGGTGTTTGGTATGCCTATACAAGTCCAAGGGCCTGGTAGTTTTGTGCTTTCCCCCATAATACCAGAGCCAGTGAACCAGGGAGTTACCGAGGCCACCCATAAAAGGACATTTCATTACTGTACATTCAACTTTGATTTTTGTGAAAGAGCCTGAAGTTTTCACAATACAGTAACTATTAGCATTTCTTCATTATTACAATACTAACCACTAATAGTGAAATCAGGATAAATTTGAGGCATGCTAAGTAGGATATGTTTATCTCTTCTTCTATCTTACGTGTGTAATGTGTGAGGGCTTCGTAGCTCATGATCCCCTTGACCAGTATTTTTTCAGATAAAACAAAAAGTAACTTATGGAAAATAAGTTATCATAGATTTGGTGGTGGTGTTATATTAAGATGACAGTGGGTTCCTGTTTGAATGTGAAATGCAGTATACTTGTGAATACCTTCAGGGCTAAGGTACACTGAAAAGTTGTTGAATTTTTATCCTTAGGGTGAGAGTTTTCAGGCATGCTATTGTACTTTTTACTTTTGTGAGTAATCAATATTTAGTTTCAATTTTGTTCATAGTATAAATTGTATCTCATTAGGTTTGTTGTTCAAGATGCTCTGGTACACACTTAAATGTTTATATGTACTACATGTTTAGTATACTACATGTTTATGTATATGTTTATATGTACTACTCTACAGAGATACTGTAGATGTATCTTTCCTCTTCTGTGATGCGTACACAAGATTCACATGGTAGAGTCTATGTGAGTCGACTCTCTAATCCTCTCTTAATAGGCTGTAAGTGAACTCTCCAAGACATATGAATGTATTATACTTATGTCGATCTTCATATGTTATGGCAGTCACAAAGTTCACACCTATTATTTTGGAAAAGTATGGCAATGCTAAACATCAAGCGTGTTCAAGGAATCTTAAATTTATCAAGAGAGGTTGTCCGTTAGATACAAGCCAATACATGAGAATATTTTCATGAAGTTAATTGAATTTTGCATCTTGCCTGCCAAAATTTATTATGTGGTAGTTATACATTTGTGTAAAATAGCTCACAGTTTAATTACTGTAATAGTTTAGGGTATCAATCAAGTTTGGTATCAACAAAAGCATGACTAGGCTTGTTATTAGGCACATGTTATCAGTAAGGCAGTGGTGGTCATATTATACCAAATAGTCTATGTAGTTTGCTAATTAAAGAATATGTAATTTTAATTTATAGATTTTAAAGCAAAATAATTGAAAATAATTTATAAATAACATAGCATTTAAATAAACTAGAGTAATATATTTGAGATATAGGTATGTATTTGTCTTGAAGTAATGTGGTATTCAGCCATTTACAATTATGTAGTTTCGCTTAGTTATCTGCATGTACCGTACTGTACCTTATTAGTGAAGATTCAACTCTGCGTATATTTGTAGTGTAGATTTAATTTTGCTAAACAGATATTGATATTGTACATTTATTTTTAAATTGTTACGTTAAATTATTGTTGTACTGTATTTGTTTTGGAAAATAAGATTAAAACACCCAATATTGTATTAATTTTTATTTGCATTTCCCAGTGCCATTTTGCCTAAATACTTAGAGATTATGATGGCCTTGGCCTTAGATTTTGCAGGTGTACAAAAATGTTTGGGTAAACAGTGATGGTACAGTAATAAGAAACTCGGCAGTATATTTTTGGCGCCTGTGGGTGAATACTGGTTTGGAAACAGGTGTTGATTTATGGAAAAAATTACTGGGTTACATAATAGGCACAATTGATTGATGAATTGTTTCAAGTGTAGGTTAGGCATATATCTACGAGTTTGGGTGGATTTAAATAGGAGCGCCTCGTGTGGGGCAAATAGTCCAACTGCAAGGTACCGTGTTCTTTATTCTTATGTTCCCATATTCAAACAACACATGATGTATACTTGGCAATATTTTTAAGATCAAATTCAGGAATTAATGAAATGGAAATAGCCAGATTCCTATGTTGGAAATTGCCAAAAAGGTGCAAGTAAAAAGTATATACCATTCTTGATTTATTTTGGCTATGTGGAGACCTGTGGCATTTAAGCTACCATTTTTTCTAGGTTGCTACTGTGAAGTAGAGAAAAAGCATTCTACAACCGTACGTGTCTGTCTTGACATCCTTGTCAACATCCACGTTTCAAGTTAAGCGTTATATCGGCAGTGATAGCAGCAAATGTGAGCTTTGCAATTTGTGATTATTGTGGTTTACATGCTAATATACTTCTGAGTAATTTACAAATGACATGGATATTGAAGATGGGAGAGCAATATGTGTATACATATTTTTATTTTGTGGTCATTTTGCAGGAGTACAGTATTACAAAACTTTAGTAATTTTGGGAAAGTGCGATGAAATTGATGATGTTAATAATGTATTTTGCAGGTACTTACTTTGCAGTGGGGTTAGTTTTTATTATTTTGTGTTATTAGGAAAACACTTAGATTTTTACTTAATTCTTACCAAGGTTTCAGAATGGTCTTGTAGTTTTCTAAATTTTAAGGTATTATTCCAAAATTATACTGTACTGTGGTGCAGAAATTTAGTACATTAGAGATGTGGTATGATATCAGGAATTTAATTTTCTCATCATCTTAGCCTTTTTTAACAGTACAGTTTTTAACCAGTTCACTCTACCCCATGATTCACTTAGATAATTGATACAGAACTAACCTGAGATGCTACAGTTAGTGGATAGTTACACAGTTATCCACACTAGAAGCTTTACAGTACATATAATATTCCAACACTTTCCACCTAATGTTTACCTATTATTTCACCTCGGTCATTTGTTCTACAGCTATTATTCTTCATGTTCATCCACTTTACACTATATGTATTATACAGTTGAAGTAGATAATTACATGATTAAGAACATTATTGCCAAAACATTATTTTTATCCAAAACTGAATATATCCTTGTGCTTGCCTGAGATGATCATGGCTAGTATTTGATTGCCCCACATCACCTTGCATAGTACATAATGACATCAATTGATTTAAAAACTCTCTAGTTGAATTTATTTTGCCATAGTTCATAACACCAAGAGAGGTATTTTGTATCATATTTTAAACTGGCATTGGAAATTTTGATACATCTTGCACTCACCAAAGTTCTTTTTCCATACTGTGATCAGATGGCAAGGGAGACTCAGTCGGGAATTGAACCACAACCTCTTCGTGCATCCATCAGGCACTGTTCCCACTCGACTTCGGCCAAGGGACAAAAGTGTGGATATCCTTATGGACATCTGAACCCCACACCTGCTCGCAATCGTGCAGTGAGTTTTATTACACATTCAAATTTTGCTTATTTGTGAGCAAATTTTGAAGGTTTTAAAAGTTTTCCTTTCCTAAAGTTTACTTTCATACTAATTTCATATTAACTTCTGTAGGCCTTCTTATCTTGGTTTAAAACATTTTTCTTAAGTTGTAAATAATTTTCTTGATACAGGGGCACCTCGGTTTACGAATCTAATCCATTCCTGGAGACGCTTCGTAACCCGAAAATTCATAAACCGAAGCGAATTTCCCCATAAGAAATGATAGGAAATGAATTGATCCGTTCCTGACTCCCCAAAAACTTCACTTCATAGTAAATTTTATACCTAATTCACCCAAATCTTCACTACAAAAGTATGTACAAGTTATTAATTACCTTTACTGATGACTCCTGTTGGCATATGGAAGACAGTGAGGAGAGGGGAGGAGGAGAGGTGTTATTGTTTGGAATGGAAGTTCCCTTCCATTATAATATCAGGCAGTGATGACTTCTCCGGGGTACTCACTCTGGCACGTTTTGCCTGCATACCACTAGGATTTACTCTTACTCTTACTCCTCCTTCCCTGAAGAATTGTTATGCTGCCTAGCTAGTTCAACAACACGTGTACCATTTTCATGTTTACAAATGATCTCTTGTTTTACTTCTATGATCGTTTTCACATATGATTTCTTTCCTTGAACCTTACCACTGGCTTTCTTGGGACCCATGGCGAGATATATAATAACAACTTTTATGCTCAAATAGCCAAAAATCCGAAATTTTTTTTAAATTCCTTGCGAAGAATTCAGGCGGGATAGTCACTGCGCACGAGGCACTAGTAAACTAAACAAACTTGTATCCTGAGGTAAAGTTCGTAACCCGATTCAAATTTTCCGAACAAATCGGGCTCTTAACCCGAAAAGTTCGTAAACAGGGGCGTTCGTAAGCTGAGGTACCACTGTATTACAGTACAGTATACATCATGGCAGTAAGATGAATTATGAGATATAGCTATTTCATTCTACAATAATTAGCATATTTACCTATTCATAAGAGCATAATTTTTTCTCAACAGTGCTTGCTGATTTACCTACAGTAATTTGTTGAAAGAAAAGTTTGCTTTTGGGAATTCGAGGAAGGGAGCATTGATATATTTTAGACATTTATAAATTTTTGTATACTGTATACCACAAGTTCCCAAACTGGAGGCCATGACCCATTGGGAGTTTTTTTTGCAATACTTAGGGGGCATAAGTTGAGGCAGTGTACAGGTTATGATACCAGAGGGTAGGGGGGAAATAACCAGCTAAAATTGATGTTGCTAAAAATTTCTTTACTACTGTGTAGGGGGCCATTAATAAAGAAGCTGTATGAAAAAGGGGTAATGAGCATAAAGAGTTTGGGAATACTGCAGTGTACAGTAATTAGGTTTTGCAGGGAGACCTGTTTGAATTGTGCCAAGGCATACATATGTAGCATATCTTGGAAAATTGTCTGTGACTTAACCACTGAACTGCACAAGGGTTCAGGAGTCCTTGCCTAGCAGTACTGATTAGGGTCTTTTAACTGTTTGCCCCTGTTCACCCTGCTGTAATTGGGTTCTGTACCTGTTTCTTAACTAATGGGTAAGGTTTACCATGAAACAAACAAACAAAACTTCACCCAACTAACTGACTAACCGAGAGAAACATCAGTCAATAGCTGAAAAGCAAGCTACGCTATCCGCAGTGTGCCCCACCAGTCAACAAACACACCCCTACCCAGGGCAAGGCAGAAAACCCTAAGGCCCCTGATGCTCCACTAGTGCGAAGACAACCAAAATAAGGAAGTCCGCTAACAGGGTGTGATCCTCAAATGCCTCCGGGAAGATAACTCTGAGACGCAAGGGTAGTACTTACGAAGCACCTAGGGAAGGTGGCCCAAGTATATGCTACTGAAAGTCCTGGCAATAAGCACACATCCATTTTGTAACACTGCTGCAAGTGCAAAAACACCAAAGAAAATAGGAACAAGGAGCCAGAGTGACAGCGACCACTCGGCACGACTACATCAGTCAAAGAACTGGATAGTGGCGGCCTGACTTACCCAGGCTGGCTTCCCCCTTCCCCCTTTGGGAGGGGGGTGGAGCTAATGAGCAAGGGGTTAGTTGGATGAAATTTTGTTTGTTTCTGGGGAGTTCTTTTGTGCTTGTGAGGATATAGGTCGCATTTTTCAACCAGGCAGTAGTCTGTTTTGATTCGCTTACCTTTCTGGGTGCCTTTCCTTGTTGATGGCAAGATGACATACTTTAAATGTAAAGTGTTTATGGACCATTGCTCCCTCCGCCTCTCTGAGGGGGCCAGGTTCTGACTTGTGGTTCCCGTTAGGCTTACAAAGAACACTGCAACTGATGACACTCATGTACTATGGCAATTAGTCAGTAAGATAATTTCAGGGAGCCTCCGGGGCTCACCCAGAAACTGGCGTTTCATTACATTCAACACTGGGTTTTTGAACTGCAGTTGGATTTGTGATTAAATTTTGCTTGAAATTAATTACATATGGCAACTGCATTTAGGAACATTGTCAGTCTCAACAAGATAAAGATCATGTAACATTTAGCCATTTTTCTTTAATTGTAATGTTAATTTTTCACAGGTTTGCTGCTACAATGGGACAACACCCGCAACTAATGGAACACTACGTAATGGCCTCATTCCCATAGCCAGCCCAGAGATGTGCTTCTACTGTTTTGATGTCCTTTATAGTCACTTGCACAACGTGGAACCCCCAAGCACTCCTGATTTTACCAATGAGCCCTTGTAAGTTTTCCATATAGCTTCAGTGACAACTAATGTAATATCTTGACGATAGCGTGTAGGTTCCTCATACTCTTGTTTTACAATTTCATAATTAAGAAGTAGTTAAGAAATTAGTAATGTAGTCATCATCAAAGAAATTAAAAATAACATTCTGGGCAATTTTTGGACATCCATCCAAGATGCATAATTAAGATCAATTTTAAAACTATTTAGATTGTATACAGTAGGCCCTCGTGTAGCATGAAAGATGTTTACTGTCTTTCAGTAAATCATCTTTTTACCAGATGAGCCTTGCACTAAAAGACATAAATGTTGTATGGAGAATTAGGGATGGATTCCAGAACCCTTGCAGACCCATCCATTTTTGTTTGTTACGTTATCACTAAAATACCTAATGGAACCTAATTACTAAGTGACAAATGTACAGAATAAATTAAATTTATATACTCAGCAATGCTGTAGATGAGAGTAAATATAATTGGGCCTTTTAAATTTTCAATGTAGCCTCAGAGGGTTTGGCAGGGGCCATGATGAGCCCTAGGCTGGGCTTGGGGAGTAGAGCTCCCAAAACCCTCTCCAATGATGACAATAGAATGTAATTAAAAGACAATATATGACAAAACAAAATGTCAACAAATATATGCCACCTGACTGTTTGGTGTTAAAGGATGTGTCATGCTATGCTAAACTTAGTGTACCAAGTTATCTTACACGAGGAACTACTGTATGTGAATATTATTAAACCTTCCCATTATTTAATATGTATGGCAAAAATTAGTTATATTTAAGCTAATTGTTGTATTTTCGAATTCATGAATGCTTAGGTCAGGTTTGAGGGTGTTGCCCCTTTGTGTGAAATGCGATTAAACTAGGAAGACAAGCAATAATATGCTGTATTAGGCTTTTGAAACTACAACTGATTTGCTAAAAAATGGTCTTGAAATGTTACACAAACTTTTGTTCCAGTCATTGTTTGCACTTCTACTTGCCTTATACAGTACAGTATATTTAAAACTTTATTCTAGGCCCTTGTTTCTGGAATGTTACTTCAAAAGTCAATTGATGTTGCCGATATTACTTACATTGCCACTGTTTTTTACAGCCCTTTGTTTGTAACATGGAAAGTTGGCAAAGACAAGCGGTTACGAGGGTGCATGGGAACATTTAGTCACATTAACCTCCATGCAGGGTTGAGAGAATATGCTGCTACCAGGTAACTCATTATTTGCAGGAAAATATTTTCCTTTCATATGGTAAAAAAATAATATATTTCTACATCATCTTGTATTGTGTTATCTATTTGAATAGCATTTCATAAATTGACTTATTGCAAATGTCTTTTTTTCTATTATGTAACATAACATATTAACCATTTCACATGAATGGACACTTAGTGATTTACAGGAATACTAAATTCAGTCTTGGCTAGGTAAAACAATATGGGATGATATGTGACTAGAGGACTGCATGAAAGAATCACTATTCCAACCTTGTAATATATGGTCATGGAACTTGTGTGGCAAGAGCATAACAACATTGTTGTGCACTACATTAACCACTGTACTGGGCAGAGCGCCCTGTGGCCCTCTGAGAGTTTTTTTTTTAATTAGGCTATATTTTAATGTTTTGTAATGTTTCATCACTCTTTGTATTTTTAAATTAAAATAGTTGAGTTTGGAAACATTTTGAAATTAACTTTACCTGAACAATTATAAAAACAACAAAAATATGTCCTTAACAATTGCACTATGTAATATTTGCCGAAACCATGTGCGCAGTGCCATGGTTAACCACTGCACTGAGCAAAGTGCCTCTGGGCTATCTGAGAGTTGTGCTGTTTTTTATTTTTAATTAGGCAATATTTTAATGTTTTTTAATGTTTTGAAATGGAAATAGTTGAGTTTGGAAACGTTTTGACATTAACACAATCGTGCACCTGGCATGCGCGCCGCCAACTTAGAGGTCACGCCCCCGGCGTGCGGGCAAGTGCACGGCGACTCTGAAATGTGTATACTCGTTTCAGTTTTCTCACCTTAATTCTCGTGCTACGTCGTTCGTTTTGGTATCATTGTGTTTGCTATTAAATTCCCTGCAGGTGTATAATGGGTAATAACACTCAGTCTCACTCTCGCTATATCTCCATGTTAAATGTCTCGTTCTTCATTCATTTAAATTACAGTATACAATCCTGCTTTACTTTATCTATCCTCTACTCCACCATGTTCCTCGGGATGTCTATGTTTAAAGTTGTGCGCAACAATGTTGTATGCTTTTCTGAGGGAGCCCCTTGTGGCTCCTTGAAGCTGTCGAGATAAGATGGCTTCCCATAATGAGTCACATCAGCTGTCCTGTTGACCAAACAGAGAACAGCTAGAACCTGGCCCCCCCCCCCCATATCATCTCACAGATGGGAGGGGGGAGGGGGGCAGAAAACTGGGAATTCATTACAATCTCCCCACAACAAAAAAGCATCCAGTAAGTAAGTGCAGCAATGTAAACAGCTGATCAAAGCACCGAAACAGCCAACAGACCCCTCAAATTATTCATTTGAATCCAATTGGTTCACTCAAAACTAAGCTCAAACCACCTAATGTGCAACACCACAACAGGTGGCGTTTTGGGAGCTCCTGCCTCCTGGCTAGCTATGATTCAGTAATATCACTGATGTCAGAGTGCTCTGAACTTCCTGAGTCATCCAAGCCATAGCAAATTCCACTCCTTTTGCAAGGTAAATGCTGGCCATCCTTTGTACTTTCTTCTTTTCTTCTTTGGGGACTATTTGTTTGTATGTCGTTCCAATTCTATAGTACGTGCTTCATGAGTGTATGCTTACTAGCTGTACTTGCATGGATTTGATCTAGTCTGCACTACGAGCTGCACGTGTTTAGGGTGACTCTTCCCTAAGTGCTTGTCTAGTGTTGTCCTTTTACTCAGAATAATTTCTATGGTGTGTTTGGAAGTTCACCCCCTAAAAGGCTTGACTGCCAGGGGTGAAGAGCCTCACCCTTGGTAATGCATGGGTCATTGACTCCACTGTGGGACCCTGTGGTTGGGGGTGTTCTGTTCATTTCATTGTAAGGAATGCTAGGGCCCACATGCTTGTTCATACGGCATGCCATGGACACGCTTCGTGGCCAGGTTTATCTTATAGGCTGCATTTAGTGTCTGTTCTTCCCATTAGTGTCCCTAGTGCCAGGGTGTCCTGCTTGGGTTCGTTTCCGGGTGCCCTTGGGCTCCTCGGTTTCGTCTTTCTCGAGTTTTCTTCTTCCTGGGTGTCCCCCAGCGGAGGCTCGTGAGGCCCTTGGTGCGTACCTTCTGCGTGACCCAATTTAGGTCTTGGTAATGGACCCTGGCCAATTTTGAGTTCGGAATGTGTAATGCAACCACATTGGTTGCATTACAAGGTTCTGGAGTCGTCCTGGCTAACAGACTGTCCTTTGTTTTTGCAGGGAGCTTGGCGAGGCCTTTACTGTAACTGTGCACTTGATTGCCTGGAGGTTTCTCCTGTGTTGCAGGTTTTTCTAAGGGGAGGGGGGGCTGTCTAGCATACCTCAGTTCTTGCCTCTTCACTCCTGCCCTTTCCCTTGATGATGGTCTGGTGCAGCTGCACGCTCAAGTTCCTCTTCTTTCGGCAGCTTTGGTCACCAACGATTTTTGGACTCTGTTACATTTGGCTTCTTTTGTGTGATTCTTGTCTCCACGAGCTATCGTGGAGACAAGAATAGGCACAAAGAACTCTGCAACTGATGATGCTTGGTAATATGGCACATAATCAGTGATGATAGCTGAAGGGAGCCTCTGGGAAGATGGCGAAACATCCAGAAAATGGCGTTTCATTACATTCAACGCTGTTTTTTTTGGCTTTAGATTTCTACTTATCATGAATCCGAGATCTTTATTGCACTCATGTTTAGAAATTTGAACATTGTTCAGCTGATATTTGGTAACTCTTATTATAAGTTTCTATATTCAGAATGCTACATTTGGCAACATTAAAGATCATCTGCCAATTTGTTGCAAATTTTAGAAGTGTCCAAGTTGTCTCGCCACAATTTTGAGTCCTAGTCTGAATTTATATCGCGACCTATTTTAGTTAGATTCTTTTTATATTTATTTTACATAATACTTAGTTAGGGATGTACTTCATTGCTCCTGTGCTTAGTTTTATTTTTAAATGTGAAATATTCAACATGATCACTGTCCTGTATTGACAGTTTTTCTTTTTCTTTAGTGCATTTAAGGACTCCCGGTTCCAGCCCATTGGGAGAGATGAATTACCACGCCTTGGAGTGTCCGTCTCTATCCTTCGGCACTTTGAAGATGGTCGGGACTATAGAGATTGGGATATAGGTGTTCACGGAATACGAATAGAGTTCCTAAATGAGCGGGGTGCCAAGAGGACAGCTACTTACCTGCCTGAAGTTGCTCCTGAACAGGGTAAGCTTTATGGATTTGTGTAATACTGCACAGTATAGTATGGTATATGGGAAGAACTTTGACCTCATCAGTAATTTGTTATGTACTGTATTTAAGATGTGTATATTATAATGCCCAGGCCAAAGCCTCTTAATGAGTATTTGACCATAACTTCATTTAATTTTCAATTCTCTCTCACTCCTTAATCTTCTCTTTTTCTCTCACTCTTGTCTTTGTGACCAATATGCAACTGTAAACTTGATCAGTAGAATTGTCAAGGCCTGAACTGGGGTTTCCATTGCTTTTGCAGTGCCAGAATTGAAAGCAGATTGTTAACAAAATTCAAATTCTTTAAAACTCCCATGTATCTCAAATGCATCTGAGTTTTATGTTAGTCTTCCCAATTTTGTCTTTTTTGGTGTGTAAATGTTTCAACAAGCAATGACAGCTTTTTATTTTATATAGTAGCTTACCCTTTTGGGGTACTTTCCATTTAAATAAAGTACTACTGTATTAGCTTAATAAAGTACTTTATTTACTTTCAAATAAGGTACTTTATTGCCACAGCAGTCTGTGTACTTCTATTGATGTCTCATTTTACACATCAGCTACTGTTGCAGTCATCTCATAATGTGCCCACTGAGATGGCCTTAAATGTCACCTCCACTACCTACAACTGGAGCTTACCATTAAAGAGCCAATGGGTGAATGGTGGAGATGAATCGACTTGAAGTAAAAGAGTAAACTAGCAGCTTGGCTCATGCCAGAGTTAAATGCACACCATAACCATACTTAATTAAGAATCAGAAAAAAATGATGAAAATGGCCCTCTGAAGAGACCAAAGAGGCAGATCACAGCTGAAATACCTGTGAGAGAGGCTGGAAGAATGCTCCTGCCACAGCTAGTGCTGGATCCACCACATCTGAAGGAAACTGTATCATTGAAGCTAACAGTAAATAGAGCATTTTGGCAAGCTCAACGGGACATATAGAAATCTGTTGCCTCTTCACAAAAGAACAGAGCGAAATGCTTGGGCAAGATGTCTGAAGCAGATAGTATGTTAGACAAGAAAAGAGGAGTTCCTTGAATTATGGGAACCCACTTTCACATGAAATTGTACTCGGGGCATTTCTACAGTGGCAAAAAAACATAAACCTCCAATAACCAGGTCCGAGTCTTCCATTCCCTTCCCAATATTGTTCCCTGAAACTTTCATTCCAAAGATCTTGGTGATCTTGGGAATTGGCCCATTTTGGGGAATGCTAAGAGTGGAGGTTCTTGGACTTTTCAGCAGCCCTTCAGTGGTAAGCTCCAGTGATGGTGTGGTTTGAGGACATCTTCAGGCATTTTGTCATGCTTGCATCAGAAATTTCTGGGTGTTGAAGGTGGTTTTCAAGTGTTGAGCTTGGGCTTGGGACTCATCCCCTCCCAGGATTTCTGTAAACCTTAGGTATCTTGGAAACTTAGATACACGGGTATCCATTTTCTCCAATGCATCTGTTTATTATCCAACAGATTTTGGACAAATGGGGGATTTCCTTCACTCATTCTTTTCAGGAGCAGTCTTATCTCTTCCCTATGGTGAAGAATGGATTCACCAGGAGGAGAATGACTTATGCTTCTTGATGCTTTCATCCTTTGACATTTCATATGACCACCCTTGCGGTCATTCTTCAGATTCTCCAAGTTCACTCTTGGCTTGTGTCCTGAGGCTTTCAATACTTTTTTGATGCCTGGTATCAAATAATAATTTAGTTGATTCTGAAAATATTGTTCCACACTATGCAATAGGAACTACTTATTTAGTTTCACTCTTTCTATTCACCTAAATAATAGTGCATTTGACTTCCACTGAATTTACCTATTGATCTTACCACAGAGTGGATCTCTGTACTGTATCATATTATAGAGAACTGTCTAACTATGTGATCACTGAACAAACAGTTTGCTAATGGAATGGCACATGGCTTTGGTGTGGTGTTGTTCTCAACATTTGTTTGATTGCGCTGTATTCAAAACTCTGACAAGTCCTCTTGTTTTCATGCAGGATTGCCCACCTGCTCTTGCCAGTGAGAAATACTCTCCTCATAAGCAATATTTTTATTGGATGGTTCTACTGCCTGATGACCTATCAACACTATCCTAAGATGTACCAAGTTGACCACAGCAGCTTTATATGTAATTTCACAAATTTGTCTAATCTTTAGAACCACTACCCAACAGCCAGCATCCCCTGGCTCTAATATTGTGCCACCTTGTATAAGCAGTTTTAAGATTCTCTAAAGATTGTTCATATTTCAACTGCTTCTACCTTCATCAACATATTCTTTAATTTTGCACCATTCCTCCAAGGTTGTCCTCATCTGCTCTCCCATTATCGAAGATGCATCTTCACTATCCCCTCTAAACATTTCTTCTACTGTCCTTCCATTTCTTGAAGATGGCCTTCTACACTCTTGCCTAGGGCATACATTTATGGGTAAACACAGGAAATGACCAAGAATAAAAACCCTGCGAGCTGGGTGAAGTGAGGCTAAGGAAAGAATCCCGCCTGACTCCTCTTATCAGCTTTTTCCTCTGCTCCCTGATGTAGTCCGTTTGATAGTTATAAATTCTATTTTTTGTTGCTAATATTATCTGCTCAAGTCATTTTCTTAGGATGCAGCTAATCTATTGTTCATTTTAATTTAAAAATTATAATGTTTTTTATATTAGTGAAACCCTTTTTGCTGTCCTTTATAATTGTGCCTAGGCGGGTGCCTTGTTTGCCTGTTAGGCAGTACTGGCTGGACTGTATGCACCACTTCCTGATTTCCTCTTTTGTATTTATATCTTCCAAGATACTGGTTTTTTTCCTTTACCAAAACTACTTTTTTACTTTGTCTTGCTGCCTTATTATTTACTTACATTTTGACCATTATCTGCCATGTAGTTTACCAAGCTTTGGAATCATACTTCTGCTGGACATACAAAATAAGGAGGTTTGAAGGAACAAGGTGGCAGGTAATGCTTAAAGTATAAGATTGTGGAGGAATATGGTACTCGGTTTTCACCCCAACAGTGGATTATACAAACTGGTGTTGATATGTATATGTATATACAATATAAGATGTGATCAGAAAGTTCCCAGACTTAATATATTGTGCAAACATTTGTGGTTGCTAATGGGAACCTCATTATCTGAACAGTACCTTGTGTCTTCTGACTCAGCCCCCCCTCAAAGGGTATGCATCATCTCTTTCCAGTGTTGTGTAGTAAGCGGAAGAGTGCAGTCATTGCTGTGGCATGTGGTGCATTGCAGTGTCTGTCCTGCATGATCAGCAAGTGCACATCAAGTTCAACTGGTGACTTGGAAAGACAGCATCAGAAACAAAATGGTAAAAATAATAAACAAATATAAAAGCAGTATTAAGTGAAGCAGCTTTGAATCATACGTCAACATTTCAGTGGTATATTTCTTTCAAAGATAATAGAGCCCACGGAAGATGATCCGCACTCAGGGCAGCCGCAAGTTCATGCAACAAGGACTATTGACCACATGTGTGATTTGGTCTGTGCAAATCAAAGACTCGCCATTAAAGTTGTGTCTGAAGACCTTGCTATCTCCTACAGGTCCTGCCAAGCAATAATTGCTGACAACCTTGGAATGGTACGTGCATCATTGCAGATAGATTCACATCTTCTCAATGCCAAGAAGATAACGAAGCACAACCAGGTGTGCAGAGATTTTCACTGAACAAGCCGCAAATGTTCCAAATATCATATGAAGCAGAGCAGGTGAGAAAACCTGAGTTTTTGGGGTACAACCTAAAAACATATACAGCATTGCTTGACCCCCAAACAAGCAAAATTTAAATTGAATCTGAAAGCAGTGCTGATCAATTGTTGACCATGAGAGTCTGGTGCACCATGATTTCATTTCACAAGATAAATCAATGTCTCCAAGAAAAAGTTCAGAAGAAGGGACCAATGAATTGGCGAGACAATTCATGGGAGCTATGCAATGACAATTTCTGTGTGGGAGCTTTTGGCAAAATACAAAATCAAAGGGCTTGAATACACAGTATACCCACTTTATTTAGTTTTGCCAGACTGTCCTACCTAGGCACAATAGTTTATTCATAGGAAAATTTCCAGACATACCAAATATCACTGAAAGTATGGACACACACTACAATATATTCCTAAAGAAGAGCACCAGAAGACTATGAAGTTATGACCAAGATGCTAGAACAAATGTGCAGCTGCAGAAGGGAAGTGTTGTACTTGGAAAGGGACAAAGTGAACAGTAGGTAAGTAGCCTGCTTTGTCTGGGAACATTTTGATCACATTCTGTATTTTCATAAATACATATAAAGTATACTGTACAGTATATTTATGCAGAGATGGTTCACTAATATGGATCATATGGGGTGGCCCCCCCCCCCCATCTGAGTTATTTAGAGATCTGGGTTACCTGACACTATTATTATGATGATTCCTACATTTACAACTATTTTGTTTTTTGATAATATATACATCAAAAGTACAATATTATGTACTTGTACAAAATTATGACAAAGGTACTTTGTCTTGTACACCAAAGGTATAAGGCTAATTGTATGACGATAAATACAGTAAAAATAATAAAAATAATCACAAATACTGTATGCTGTGAATAATTACAACAAATAATATAAATAAGGATATGGCAGAAAATAGTGGGGAAGGAGGAATGTGCTGTGGTGAATGGGAACCTTACCTTTCAGTTACCTTTTGATAGTTCCGAGGATCAGTGTCCCTGCAGCCCGGTCTCTGACCAGGCCTCATGATTGGTGGTCTGGCCAACCAGGCTGTTCGATGCAGTCGCTCACAGCCTGACATAAGAATCACAGACTGGTTGATAGGTAACTTTTGAAGGCATTTATCAAGTTCTCTTTTAAACATCGTGAGAAGTTGGCCAGTTATGGCCCTTGGGCCAGATTCACGAAGCAGTTACACAAGCACTTACGAAGCTGTACATCTTTTCTCAATCTTTGGCAGCTTTGTTTACAATTATTAAACAGTTAATGAGCTCCGAAGCACCAAGAGGCTGTTTATAACAATAACAACAGTTGATTGGGAAGTTTTCATGTTTGTAAACTTTTTAATAAATGTAACCAAAGCCGTCAAAAATTGAGGAAAGATGTACATGTTCATAAGTACTTGCGTAACTGCTTCATAAATCTGGGGCCTTATGTGTTGAGGAATTGTGTTGAAAAGTCTTGGGCCCTTAATTGTGAAATTTGTCTCTCATCGTACCTATTGAACTTCTGCTTTTCAATGGGGTATTTTGCATATCGTGCTATGCCTTCTGGTCTTGTGTGGTGTTATTTCCATGTGCAGATTTGGAACAGGTCTTAGTATTTTTCAGGTGTAAATTTTATGTATCTCTACCACCTGCACTTTAGGGAATGCAGATATAAAAATTTTAAGGAATCCCAATAATTTAGATATTTTATTGTGTGTGTTCTAGTAAAAGATCGATGCATGCTCTCCAGGTCAGCAATTTCTCAAGCTTTGAATGGGGCTGTAAATGTGCAACAGTATTCAAAGAGTTAAAATACTGTTGCACTAGTGTCTTGAAAAAAATCATCATTCGTATGAGATCTCTTATTCTTCTAAATCTTTTACATAACTTTTTCACGTTGTAGTGTGATATGACTGCATTTTATATTTGGTTTCCATTTATATATATATATTTTTCCATTGTGCAGGAGCTGTGTTGAGGTGGCAGGGAAGAAGGATGTGTTGTGGTGGGAGGGAGGGATGGAGGATGTGTTGTGGTGGGAGGGAAGGAGGATGTGTAGTGGTTGGAGGGAGGGTACCTCCCACTACTGAACATTTGCTGGCCTAAGCTTTAATAACAGTATGAACACCAAGGAAGAGAGAAGCAGTATGACAGATGAATAAATAAAGCTGTGCAGGCAGTAGGTCATAATTTGTCAGTCATCCATCAGGTCTGTCATCAGTAGTGAAGTCAAAAAATTCATTGTTAGTAGCCAATTGAATCATCTGTGAAGTCAGCAAACAGTATGTTCAGCCAACCAGAGGTTGACTTACTATTTTTATTAAAAATAATGTTCAGAAATGTTAGGTAAAGCCTTACAGGGAACTATAAATGAACATTCTTGTCCTTGACCACCATGTGTTCATGGTTAAATCCAAGACTTGTACACCCCCACAGCATGGAGGATGTTACTTGGTTGTGTCTCAAACAGGCCATAAGCATGGGGGGGGGGGTTCAGTTGTCAGTTGATACCTGCAGCTATGGCCAAATTTCACCGAGCCAAATTTTAACATGAACCTATCATAAGATAGACAAATACTAAGAGAACCTGTAGAGAGATTTTACCCTTGTTGTCAGTATATCTCAGTAACCAACTCCTTAAATATTTTTTTTAGAGGTATGGCTATGACCCCCAAAATGGTGTAAAAGAGCCATTCTCATTAACTTTCCCACAGGCTGGTAAACTCTGGTCCTGCATCTTAAGCACATCTGCACATCAATGGCATCACTGAATACCTGGTTGGCAAAGCGGGCAAGTAAATCAGACCTGCAAAGTGTGCATTGCAGCTGAGATTTGTCGAAGTGAGGTTCGCCGAATCGAGATTGCACTATATGTAATTGTCTATGCACTAATGTGTTACTAATTTAGTGTAATTTGAAATCTTTTCAGGCTGGGACCATGAGCAAACTATTGATTCACTGCTCAGGAAAGGCGGCTACAAGGGGCCTGTGACTAGCGAAGTGCGACGCAGCATTAAGTTAACTCGTTACCAGAGCGAAAAAATCTCTGTTACATTTCAGGTAAGAAATTACTTCAGTTGTTTAGAAGTTATATTAATCTAATTTTGTTGTCAAGTGATGATAGTGACTGAAGTTGATCATGCATCAGTGCAGAAAGGTAAGGGAAGGTCTTAAGTTGACAGCAGAAGGAAGTTGATTCTTGTAACTCATAAATACTGTGTAGCTATGAAGATTAAGATGTAACAGGTTTAATATAAAACAAAATTGTGACCTTTAGTAGTTAATAAATCTTCTCTCTTTCATTAAAGTGTATGCAGGGTTTTGTTTATGGTGACTGGCTGGGTCTACCCACCACAAAAATAGGCAACTGGGACTCACTCATCTCTTGATAATCATCATCACTACCCATTTCCCAGTTTCATGGGGTGGAAAGACACCTACCAGGAAAGAATGGAAAAGTGCCTTAGGAAAAATAGGTACAAATACGCTGAGTTACCCCTGACCTTTTTTACTACCCTCAACACACATTACCATCTCAGGAAACTAGCATAGAATTGCCAGGCACAGTAGTATCAGGATATTAATAATTATTATTACACCTGATAGTGCTACACGGTATCATCCAGGTAGACTAGTACTGTACCAGCCAGCAATATGGGAAGCTTAGTACCGGCAAACATCATGGGGAACACTCGATAACATCCTAGGAAATTTATTCCACTACACCGTACCATCACAGGAAAAAAGTACCACAGCATTGCACCATCACAGGAAGTAACACCACAATGCACTATCAGAGGAAGAAAGTACAACACTGCACCATCACAGGAAAAAAGTCCCACACTACTGCACCATCACAGGAAGTAACACCACAATGCACTATCAGAGGAAGAAAGTACCACCACACTGCACCATCACAGGAAGAAAGTACCACACTACTGCACTGTCACATGAAACTACCACTACTTCACTGCATCATCACAGGAAGAAAGTATCACCACACTGCATCATCACAGGAAGAAAGTACAACCACACTACATCATCATAGGAAAATGGTACCACCATGCTGCATCATAGGAAGATAGTATCATCACACTGTAACACTGCAGGAAGAAAGTATCATCATACTCCACCATCGCAGGGATAAAGTACCACCACACTGTAACATCACAGGAAGATAGTACCACCACACAGGAAGATTAGTACCACCCCACAGGAAGATTAGTACCACCCCACAGGAAGATTAGTACCACCCCACAGGAAGATTCGTACCACCCCACAGGAAGATTAGTACCACCACACAGGAAGATTAGTACCACCACACAGGAAGATTAGTACCACCACACAGGAAGATTAGTACCACCACACAGGAAGATTAGTACCACCACACAGGAAGATTAGTACCACCACATAGGAAGATTAGTACCACCACACAGGAAGATTAGTACCACCACACAGGAAGATTAGTACCACCACACAGGAAGATTAGTACCACCACACAGGAAGATTAGTACCACCACACAGGAAGATTAGTATCACCACACATGAAGATTAGTACCACCCCACAGGAAGATTCGTACCACCCCACAGGAAGATTAGTACCACCACACAGGAAGATTAGTACCACCACACAGGAAGATAGTACCACCACACAGGAAGATTAGTACCACCACACAGGAAGATAGTACCACCACACAGGAAGATAGTACCACCACACAGGAAGATTAGTACCACCACACAGGAAGATAGTACCACCACACAGGAAGATAGTACCACCACACAGGAAGATTAGTACCACCACATAGGAAGATTAGTACCACCACACAGGAAGATAGTACCACCACACAATGATGATAGTTCATCATTGTGAAAATAAGGTCTTAAGTTTTTTGTTCTTTTTTTAGTATTACTATTTGCTGGTTAAAGGCAAATTTGTCACACATTTGCAAAAGGTCATTTGTGAGTGACTGTCCATTTAGACTGCTTTCTGGGACTCTCTCTGGTATAACTATATTTGACCCCTTTTTTCATTTTTGGTGCATTAAGTTGAAGTCACCAAGCAAGATGATGATGGGGGCAGAGTTTATGAGGTTTTGTCAGCAGTATTGTTTCATAAGTTGATCTTTAGACTGCTTAGGATTGGCATCTTGTGATTTATATACAAGGACAGTCACCACATTTAGAATTCTATTTTGATTATCAAAACTTCCACCATATCATTTGCAATGTTTAGTAAATCATTGCAGATGAGTATGTCATTGATGTACAGGCTGATCCCGCCCTGTAGCCTATATTTCCTATCATATCTGAAAAGATTGAATATTGGTACTGTATCCAAATCTCAGTGTTGTAATAGTCCTTTGCGTGTGTTTCAGTTAACACTTTGCCTGACCGATAATGCATAATGCGTCCGTATATGAATATACTCTGTGCGAGAACGCACGTTGCATCCAAAATTTAAATATTTGTTAAAATTCAACTTATTGTTTGATTATTATGGGACTAGAAAATGTGCGCCTTTCTATTGCGAACCATTTGATACCTAAATGAACTACGTAGCATGAAAATTGAGGTGGGAAGACTGGAAAGAGTATAAATATCTGAGTGCAGGTGGGTGGCCACTAACAGGTAAAACTCGGCATAACTTTTGGTGTGCTGTGGGTGGTATGCTAAGCCATTTGACATTATATGCGCATATTCCCTTAGAACATTCTATTGTGAACAATTTGACATAGCACGAAAATTGAGATAAAAACACAGAAAAAGAGTATAAGCATTGAGTTCGGATGGGTACTGACTCACTGGTAATGCTCAGTCAATTTTTGCGTTTGATGCGGGTGGTGTGCTAGGCCTTTTGATCTTATATGCAAATATCCCTTCAGAGAATTCTATTGCGAACAATTTGATACCAAAATGAATAACTTAAATTGAGGTGGGAAAAGTGAAAAGAGTATAAACATTTTAGTAAAAGTGCACACTCACGGGAAATGCTCGGTCGTCCTTGGTATGTGCTGGGGGTAGTGCGCCAGGCCGGCCAAAGTGTTAAAGATGCAAACTCAGTACAGTATTTGCCTCATTTAATACTATAGCGCTCCGTTGCCTATGCCCGTCGTCACTCATTTTCCTCCCGAGTCATCTCGGGTGACGAGGTTTGGAGTCACTCATTAAAATATTTGTTAAAAATTAAAATTTATCCGATCAATCTGGGAGTAGTTTCGAAATGAGCGCCTTCAGATTGCGCACAATTTGATACCAAAATGAAAGACGTAACACGAAAATTGATATCAGAACACTGGAAAGATATAAATAATTTTGTGGTGATGAGCATCCAAAAGTGTCCAAAAGTTAAAATATTTGTTAAAATTCCATTTATTGTTATATTATTATGAGACTAGTTTTAAAATACTCGCCTTTATATTGCAAACAATTTGATACCAAAATGAAAGACGTGACACGAAAATTGGTGTCAGAACACTGGAAATATATAAATAATTTTGTGGTGATTAGCGTCCAAAATTTAAAATATTTCCATTTATTGTTCTATTATTATGGGACTGGCTTGAAAATACGCACCTTTATTTTGTAAACAATTTGATACCAAAATGAAACACGTAACATGAAAATTTGTTATCAAACTGAACGAGTATATACATTAGTCTTCAGGTGTGCCAATTGGTGCTCGTTCACGGGTAACTTGGCCGACTTTAGGCTTTGCTGTGGGGAGTAACGCCGGGCTTTTAGACCTTATATAGCATATACCCCTGTAGAGAATTCTATTGCGAACACAATGATACCAAAATGAACGATGTAGCATGAGAAATAAGGTGAGAAAACTGAAACGAGTGTACACAGTTTACTGATTTTGCGCACTTACGGGTAACTTTGCTAACTTTAGGGTTTGCTGTGGGGAGTCATGGCAGGGTTTTGGACCCTATATGCATATACCCCTGTAGGGAATTCTATTGCGAACACAATGATACCAAAACGAACGACGTAGCACGAGAATGAAGGTGAGAAAACTGAAACGAGTATACACTTTTTGGTGTTGCCGCATGCTCGCCCGCACCGAACGGCGCATGACGTCATTTCTGCGGCGTGCACGAACGGCACGCGATAGTGTTGAGAGACCAGTTTTATAATGAACTTTGTTTAGCGAGTTTTGATACCTTGTTTATTAGAAAATAGGAAAGATGTTACAATATTTGTGGAAGTACTGAGTATTTTACTTGGTGTTAATATCTGTGGTTCTGGTAGAGGTGCCACTTATCAGTGTCCTCTCTACTATTTAGTTAATGGAGGAATTTTCATATTTTTCACCTTTCTTTTTCCCTTTATCTTACTAAAGAATCTCCCTGGTATGTATGGGTGTTGCTGTATTCAAAATGCCATTCTTTTGATTTTATGTACAGTACATGTATTTAGGATATTTCTGCAATTTCTTAGGTGTTTATATTTGCATGTTTCATATGCCTCTATGCATAATATAAAGAGGTTCCAAGTTCATGCTTTGTTTTGATTATCTTGATTTGTCTATACTACTTTGTGTAGTTACCTAAGTGTAGTTATGGGATGAGAGCTACGCCCGTGGTGTCCAGTCTTCCCAGCACAGTCATACAGTATAACGTTTTGAAATTGCTGATGGTTTTGGCCTCCACCACTTTCTCACCTAACTTGTTTCAACCGTCTACCACTCTGTTTGGAAAAGTATCCGTGCTGGCTCTTTGCTGATATATTTACGCAGAGATCTTACAGATTCCTGTCGTTGATCAGTTGCTTCCTTTTGTGTTGGATTTGTTTGTCTATCTGGATCAGTGCTTGCATTTTGTTTATTGGTACCCTTTAATGCAGTATTTTTATTTTGTAGTCCGTCTGTCTCTCGACATACCTGGGTGTCTTACCTTTCATTTCCATATGTCTGAAATTTCTGAACATAGAGTAATGAGGAAATTCCTGTCCTATCCTACAAAAGAAATATTTTTCAGAAATTTTTGCTATCTTCAGGAAAATGCAGTTACTTTATACCCATTCCATAATTTTTAGGATTACTACCTATAGATATC